TTAGGAGTTGTCGAGATTATGTGGTTGGGAGCCTTGTTGGTAGAGCCCAAGGTGGACCAAGGAGCTCAAATGAAATTGCGGTATGACAAAAAAGTCTGTGATCAGCATCACCAACCCCATGATGCAACATGATAGAACCGATCATGTGGAGTAAGGATGTCAAAAATTGACCTGACACGACGACTCGTACTCAACTCGGAAAACCCGGGTTAAGGTTGACCTGAATATTTTTCAATTCATGTTCGAGTCAAAAAATTCGACCCGTTTATTATTCGGGTGGGGTTCGAGTTAAAATCGAAACCCAAACTTGACCCAAATAAGCACGAAAGTTCGGGTCAATTTCATATCATAGTTTTTGACCCATTTATTATTTGGTTCGGGTTGGATAATTTTTGGGTCGGACTCAAACTCGATCCGCTGACCCAAATTGACAACTCTAATGTGGAGATTGATCGATTCTTCACCAAGAAAAAACTGAATAACAAACCGCTGGAACTAAGTTGTGTAGCAACTAAAGAGCAAGTGGTTGACTACCTCACCACAAGACTCAGCTCATTAGATATGTCCAGGTTATGTAACAAGATGGGTTTAGTAGATATCTTTTGCCCTTCTTGAGGGAAAGTGTTGATATTTGTATCTAATGTAGAGTCCTATTTGTAAATAGAAGAAGTCCAGGAATGCATTTGTAAATGTTGTAAGGCTCTACATAAGCCCAAGTCATTAACAAAAGAAGTTTTCCAGAGCAATTACTTCACTCTCCCTCCCCCGAAGAATCTAAAGAATGTACCAATAGTAGATAGGATGCAAGAGAAATCTAGGTTCATCTTCTGAAAAATACTATTGACAATCATGTTTAAAATGCTTCTTGTATCAATTAAAATATTGTCACCTGGTAATTATCAATCAATGCTATGAATACTACAACATAACTTTATAAATTTACATTCATCAGTTCATCCAACACATAGAAGGCGACCTTCATGAATTCAGTGCATGGTTCCAAACGCGCTTGTTGAGCTCACCCCTCTTGACCAAAATTTTTTTACACTAGTTTTCTGATACTGCACCTGCTCCTCACAATGTAGCTAGCACCATTCGAGCTATGCACATTGCCAAAGTTGGGATAGGCTTATTCATCTACTCTTTGCAAGCATTAATCCCTATCTCCTTCTTGGGACCGCTACCATAAATTTCTCCAACTTTATAATCTCAATTAATTATTCTATTTATGTCATACCCATGATTTGTATGAAATGCACAGTATTTTGAAGCATCTTTAACAAGAGCTACGGAAAAATAGTCCCACATCGATTAGGTGTATGACCGAAAAACAGTATTTAAGTCTTGGCTGCCCACCTATCTTAAAGGCTCTTTTGGGAGATGACAAGTGATATCAGAGCAGATTACTGTCTGTCAGGTGTGTGGACTCTCCATGGTCCAGTGGGACCCTCGGTGGAGCCGATCCGTGACGAGGACGACACGTGATTGGGTGGAGAAGAATGTCACAGACAAATAGTTTCACATCGGCTAGGTGTAGGGCCGAAAAACAATATTTAAGTCCTGGGATGCCCGCCTCTCTTAAGGGCTCTTTTGGGAGGTGACAAGTGGTATCAGAGCAGATTACTGTCTGCCAGGTGTGTGGACTCTCCATGGTCCAGGGGGCCCCTGGGGCCGATCCGTGACGAGGGCGTCACGTGATTGGGTGGAGGAGAATGTCACGGACAAATAGTTTCACATCGGCTAGGCGTAGGGCCGAAAAGCAGTATTTAAGTCCTGGGCTGCCCACCTCTCTTAAGGGCTCTTTTGGGAGGTGACATCCAGCTCTCATGGATGCAAGCCACTTAAAGTAGTCCTTATTGCAAATAGATTCCACGTGTACGGTCATCTAAACACTCAATGGGGTTATGGTCAAATATTAATAAGTTGTAGAAAACTTCCTCACCTTCTAAAAGGTAAGAGTAGCATGATTTGTGTTTCTTATTCAGCATTCAATTTTTTTTGGTGGCCAATGGTGAATTTGTTGTTTCTATTGGAATTGAGGTTTCCACTCTAACCTCAAAATCTTTGGGTAGCTCCGATCTTCCGTGGGAAATCACAAGAATTTAGTTCCATTAAATCTTTATGGCAACTTGAGCGGTAAAGCAAATAATGAAGTCTAAATAATACTATTTGATTATCTAACCCAAGTGATCAAACCATTCACTCTATTTTTTTAAAAATCTAATCACAAGGCCAAACAAAATATTCTAGAAATATGATATTAGATTTAGAGCCTTTTCAAAGGTTAGATTGTAAGTGTTTCAATTATACATAACTAAGGATATCATTATAAGAGAGTTGGGAGAATGTGCTCAAGTAAAGTTATATTTTGGAAAAAATGTTTTTTTGTTGCCTTTAAAAAAGTTAAATAATTAATAATGGAACACGCACCCTCTTTTTTACTCGCATCTCGTTTGAGCATGCAACTCATGGGGGTGTATCTCTCCACCTCTCCCCTCAGTTTAAAAAAGAAATTATGGTAGCAAAGGGGGTCTTAATGCCTCGAGGGGTCAATGTAGCCACCCCCTCTCCTTATTTTCTCTCCTGCCCTCTCTCAAACCTATCACTCACTCCCTTCTCCCACTAGGAGAGCTAACTGACAACCAACTGCAACCTGTCGAACCACCAATGCGCCAAATCTTGATTTTGCCGGTGAACCCTCCGTCACCGCTGATTTATCGAACGCCATTGGACAACCACCGCCGGTTGCTTGCCTACTCGGGCTTAAAATAAAAATTATGCACACGTGCTTCGACGTGTATATTAAACTTTTAATCATAAGGTATAAAAATGTTGAGCAGATTTTGTTGACTTAACTTTAACTATCAGCATGTGTCCGAATTGTATGTTGAACTTGTAATTAAAAAATATGAGGATGATGCGCGAACTTGCTTAAAATTAATTCTAATTGTTCATACGTGCTCCGACAAATACATTAAAAGCTAAAAAAGATAACATATGAGAATATTACATTGGCAGAAATTAAGTTTAAAATCAAGCTTAATTTATCTTGGCACAAAATAATTTATATATATATATATATATATATATCTTCAAATGGTGCAGGTTCCCAAATAGACCAATTCAATATTTCATCTCAGAAGAATTGGAGTTAACAAAATTGAGTCTAAATTGAGTTTGTTTTTAGTTTTAACAGATCCTCTACAACTAAAATAACAATCTTGACAATGTCTAAAATAACAAAATAAAATTATCCAAATTATCAATGATGACCTTGTTGACAGAATCTCAACTAAGTCGGTTCATTCACAAAAAAATTAAAGTTATCAAATTTAAAATATAAATTTAAAATGCTTAATAAATTAATCACAAAAAATATGAGCAAAAATTCACCCATCCACTACATCAATTCATAGACGGTGAGAAATTTAAAATTAACTTAGGCTCACAAATAACTAATGTTGTACTGAGTGAACCGCTATAATCATACATAAATATCACACGTCAGAGAAAACATGACGTGTTCTCTATCAACATGATTTTATTGTTAAATGTTATTATGAAATAGTTGTTACAAAAAAACCATTTGACATGATAATTTGCCTCCAAATGACACCACTAAATTATAGTCACCACAGTAACCTGCAAGTTCCCCAACGACTTTATCTATTGAGGTGCGAAATATAGAGTACACTTGATATATAAAAAAGCTTTTTATTAACTAAGGTTAACTTAAATATGTTCCTTGGACAAATATCTACTTCAGGTTTCCATGGTTCTTTTGTACAAAACTCATTATTGCTAACAATGATTCTTCTGTTAGGTTAATTTGACTACCTCATCTGATAAAGTGGACCAAGGATCATGATAACTAGGGATAATGGAACCATAAAATCTTGATAGGTGTTTCATAATGTTTCCCATTGTCAACTCTAAGCTAATGGTGATAAATTTGATTGGTTAAAAAAATTAATCATTGTTTTATATGTTGAGTTAGTACACTTGACATTTTAAAGATTAGCTTTAATCGAAAGTGCTCTCCTATTATCAGGATGAATAATTAATTATAGGGAACCTTGAACTAGATGAAAAAATCCTCATAAAATGAGAGTGCAGTATCTTGTTAGTCTCTTATCTAAAAATTTCATCTGAGATTAAACACTGAAATCTAAAAAATAGACTAGGCAAATTTCAAAGCCACATTTTTAGTCTTTTTCTCTGTCATGAGTCGTTTAAGGATTTTATGTTATTGAGTTTGGATACATGTTTAGTGATAAGATATAAGTTCGATTATAGATTTGAATTTGACAATAGTTATAGATATGATGATAAGTGTGGTATTTATTTGCATCTTTGTCCCATTTCCCCAATTTCTATAACTAAGAAAATTCTTGTAATATATAACACTTATTTTATGGATGTATAAATGAATGAATTTGAATTTTTATTTTGGAAAGTTCTTGCAAATATTTTAGGATTTAAACTTCACAATGTTAACAAATGTAATTCAAGGTAACATCAATAGTGCATTCATACCCAATGACTGCATCTTATTCTCAGAGAAGGTTGATCAGGACAATGGAGAAGACTGACGAGAAGAAGAATTGCGAAAGCTATCTACACATTCTACATTCCCTTCCTCATTATGCATTTCTCTTGCAAACATGTCAGACAACTCTTATATATTTACATCTCGTAACACTTTAGTATCATAAGTACATCGGAACATATGCATGAAAATGTCCATCCTATGTTAAAAATGTGAACAGATAACGAGTAATTAGATATAAATACATGAGAATTGTGCGGCATGCATGTAGACCTAGCGAAAAAAATTATAGGCTTGTTCATCGAAATTCCTCTGAAAACTCAGCTGAAAATATGAAATGGCGCCTTAATTCATTTATAAACCATTCAAGCCATTGCAAAGCAGGTTTGTCTAAGATAAAAACTTATGATTTCAGAGGATTGAGATAACTGAAGAGTAGAACAAGCGTTACACAGTATCCGTGGGGATTACACCGACCGCTCCGTCTTTGATTAGCCTCACCACAGGTTCCAGCTTCCAGGTATCTTCCACCACCGGGTCCATGTCCACATAGATCATCTCCTCCCCCTTCTGCGATTTAGTCGTAAATCATCGAGGCATTAAAGTGTTTAGAAAGAGGAAAAGAAGCATTCAACCTTGTAAAGGCGCTGGGAGGAGTATTTGAGGCGTTTAGGGCTTCGCTTGGCCGCTATTGTAGGCGATTTGTGAGGCCCAACCCCGGGGCCCCCTGCCACTGCGGCAGCCGGAGGATCGCCGGGCGGAAGGTGACAAAGGAGTGACGGAACGAGAAGTAAGAGGAGGCAGCGGAGAAAGGCTTGATGGCCTCCGACGCCATTTTTCCCGGTTTCAACATTAGAGATGCCGCGATGATTGAGCTTGTCGATGAAGAAGATGACCGATAAATGAGAATAATAAAATTTCGGATTCTATCCGATTACCATATATTTCAAAGAACTTAATAGGTTCCGTTCAAATTTATATTACATGCTTAGATTTATTTTAGTTAAAAAAAAAAAAAAAAAGCTTATATGGGCTTCAGCCACTTCTAATGTTTAACAATTTAAATATCACATCTTTGTCCAACCTAGAGAGATTCAAACCCCAACCCAAAGAGTCTTACAATGAGGATGTCAACCAACGGATCCAAATAAGCGGCACATATAAATATATATATATATATAAAGATCAAAAAGTAGTGAACTCACAGTAAAAATAACACGAAAAATCATTATGTTACAGATAGATATATTCATAAATTTAATATTCAAATTTTAAGCTTAGCTGTTTAACTTTTAATAGTCAGCCACGTCAAATTATATGCCTGTCAAGTGATTTTTAATTTTAAAAATTTTAATTTAGTGATAATTTTAAAAGATGCATGTAATTAAATATTAAGATATAAGTCTTAAATATTTAAATAGTCATAAAGTAAAAAGTATGTTACATGTACTAATAACCCTTTTTTTATATCATAAAAATAATGATTAAAATTAACAATATCCTCGCAAACATTCATAACACCACAAACACGATAAATGATGTCTACAGACATGCATGATAGGCGATTGACTTCTTACAATACTCAAATATTGTTTTTTAAATAACATAACCAATTTTAGATTTATGTAGCATTGGTGCATTACACATTTCCCAAAGATCTTACACTAAAGGCTTATTTCATAATATTTTTGTGTATGTTCAATTTTTCACTTCTATTTAAACATATATTCGCTTAATGCATTTTCATATTTCAAACTTTTTTAAAAATATTTTGAATACCATAAAATAGTATATAAGTTTATAATAATTAAATATATAAATAAAATAAAATAAAATGAATAAAAATTGATCCCAAACGCACCTGGGATCGGGATTTCTTCACCGTTGCCCAATGAGCAAATAATCAGCAATTTTTATATGCCATATTATCTAATGAAGTCAATCTGATTTAAACATGAAAAATTATATTCATTTTAAAAAAAAAATTATATCCAGTCACACAAATCATTCATATAAACACAACGCATGCAAAAAAAAAAAACATGCAATATATACAAATTTTCTTGGAACAACTAATTAAATAAATAAATTTTAAATTTTAATTAACTTGAAAACACCTTTTTGTTGCAGTTATTGAGAGTTGCGAGGGCCATTACATTCCATATTGTTGAATCAAACTTCACAACTAAATGAAAATCAACCATCACGAAACCATCACGATCACGAAAGTCCAAAAAAAAAAAAAATTAAATAAATAAATACAAAATATTTGATAACCGGAAAACAATAAGACCTGAGAGTTCTTTTTCATTCTTTACCCAAGAAAATTGGAAATTCACAAACTAGCCCCCAGCACCCTTGACCAAACTAAGCCGCCAAATTTCAATTCTACAAACTTAACAGGCAAGTAATAAAAATGAGAACCAAAGTGGAGATCTTTTTAAAAGGGAGAAGGGTAAACCAACCTTCTTCATCATCATCTTCAGAAATCAAGAGAGAGATGAAGCAGCTTCTTCGACCTTTCGACGAAGGTTGAATCGTTGAGCTATGATCGGCCGGACATCGTCGACCCCAACTAAGCTCTCCAAGAATGGGAGCAGAGAGAGAAGTTCGCTATCGGAATGATCGTCAAACCAGCTCTCGATGGGGATGCCGTTGTCTAGCTGGAAGCCAAATGCCTGCAACATTAGAAGTATTATGCATTGAAAGGGAAATTTATATACGACAAATTTTTTATGTATTTACACATCGTAACACTTAAAAGTTTGATATTTACAGTTACAACATCTTGGCATGAAAAGCTGCATGGTCGTGATGGCGGTGTTCAAGATTTTGAGTGATATACATATATATATGAATGTCCACGTGTTCAGATGTGTAAAAATTGGTGGCATGTCTGTACAAATCTAGCACCAACGTAAAATATGGCGGGGTACTCTTAACATGACATGAAAGAAAAAAAGCAAAATTGTAAATAAATAGGAATAGGTGGGTATGTATGTTAAAACAGTTTGCGAAGTACCTGAGGAGAGTTGTCGACGATAATAACTTGCGTTAGATCACGACCTAAAATGGTGAGATCCTTCAAATAATTTCCCTCCACATAAACACAAGATTCACGAAAAACACGGTGGCGAAATAATTTTCTTTTGGGATCAAGCATGTTGAGAAGTTGTTCAGCATATATACTTTGGCTAGCTGTGAATATGATGGTCTCAAATAATGTCGCAACTCGCTCCAAGAAGTTCTTGAGAAAGGGCCGACACCGCACATAAATTGTGTGCTCTTTAAGATTAAAATTCACAGGGAAAGCAAAGTCTGCGTCTTTGCACGGCTCAAGTGTGGAATGCACCAAGGTCTCTGAATAATTAATATTAAAATCAGTAAATTATTAATAAAATTGGAACACATTATTTTTTATTAAAAGAGAAGTGTCAAAAAAAACTCCACTGACTACTTATAGGGAGCCATTTTAAATAATCCCAGAGTCTTAAAAAAATATGAAAACTAAACATCAGTTGCAGGAAATCCCGCCACCAAAAGCAACACTCTACTACTTGCCCGGACTAGTTCTGTCCGGGCCTTCCTTTCTTTTGAGGAGTCGGCAAGTCCTCTTGAGCCACTCATAATTATCATATTACTACGTATTTGCTCTGTGTTTTAGGATTTCAGCTTTTTGTGCTTTTGTTAAGGACAACCACAGGCATCCCTGTCTGTTCCAACTGTATCTCGCTCCAAAGATGATAATTTATCCTTTGCCCCAACACTTCCACATCGTTTCCTTCACGGTTGTCATTTTTCTTCTTTGCTACAGCCACGGGACAGCCTTCCGTAGCTGTTATTGCTACCACCTTCCAAAGACTGCCTCCCTTTCTGCCGCAGCCATTCCAGCCGACCCTACTACCCTTCGTAACTACCTACCTGCTGTCCAGCCCTCCCCGTGTTGTTTCCGACAAACCACAGCTTTTTCAGCTGAGCTACCCTTATCTGCGTGTTGTTATTTTCTATTTCCATGGTTGTAATACCCTAGTTTGTTAAGCAATAATATTGGTTTTTCCCATTGTTGTAGAATTATCTCTGGTATCATAAACCCTAGATTATTTTATTAAAACTTAAATGAATCCTCCCTTAATAAAAAAAGAGGAATTGTTTCAGTTCATATTAAAAGAATTTGGACTAATTCGACACTTTTGAAATGACTCCCACCAAAAAAAACAGGAGACTTACAAATAAACCACCCAATTCCTATGTATTTACATATCTAACACCTAATCATAAATTTTACAGCAGTCCACCCTATGTGCTTTGGCCTGCTGTAAAATTTATGATTAGGTGTTAGATATGTAAATACGTAGGAATTGAGTGGTATGTGTATAAATTTTCAATAATAAATAGTATCAAAAGTTGAGTTTAATACCATCCAAATCTAAAACAAGGGTAGTCGCAGGACAACTCCGTGTTTGCTTTGGTAGGAGCATCGGACGAAATTTTGGCACAACCACAGATAAGTCTGGTAAATCCTTGATGAATAAATACGGATCGAAATCATCGAAATCGTCATCCTCAGGTTCCACGTAAACTTCAGAAATTGTATCTTGACTTTTTTCATCAACACACTCTAATTTGGAATGCTGCATTGCAAGATATATTGCAGAAACTTCAGGAGATAGATCTCCTATACTGCTAAATTCATCCTCACAACCATGATGATAATCAATATGGAGCATATGACCATTTTTTTTATTAAAATCAAAGGTATTGTTGGATGAATTTACGACTAACTCTACATTCTCTTTATCTGCCTCCATCGGCTCAAATTCCATTTTATCTTCGGTGAAAAATTCATATCCTGATTTGTCATAAGAATCTAGATAGCTAGTTCTTAAATCAGTAATGTTGACATCATGATGTTCAGCCTGTTCTTTCTTGGTGAAAGCAGCAACAAAGTCAACTGTGTAGAAGTAAATTTAGAAGAGTAAAAAGTGTAATACTGACACAGAAAACAAAGAATGAAGATACAGACATGCAAGGAAGTTAAAGAAAAACAAAAGCCGGAAGCCAAAAATGCACTTGCCAGACTAAAATACCAAAATAAATATAATTAAAAAAAAATTATACCATTAGAACAGGACAAGCCAATCATAAATAATATAGAATTCAGTAAATGATTAGTTATACATAACTCCTTTTAAATAGTCGATATTAATACTTTATAAATCACACTTGCATCTCCTATAATTAAATAGTAAACATTACATCGTATGTTAATCCAGTCCCTTCTCTAAAATTAAACTAGACTCCTGTTTTGTTAGACATTGCATATGAGGATTGCAATGTGAGCATTTACAGCAGATATAAGTCTTATGAACTCGAATTAAAATATTTACTAATTTATTTATTAAAAAGAACAAATAATCTCATGGAACCGCTTTCTAGGAAGTCGTCAAATGGTGTTTTTGAGACAGCTTTATTGCACAGATCAATGCCACATTTAGAGGCAAAAGATTTTGTTGTTTTCTAAAGAATTTTATAATGAGTGGTTTTTTAAACTAAGGCCATGTTTGACATCACTTTAGGTTTTATGTTTTTGTTTTCAATTTGTTTTGTTTTCTATTTTTAGGAAATGCGTTTGATACTGTTACCATTTATATATATATATATATATGAAACATACATGGTTGTGAATTTTTTATTTTTTAATAAAAGAAATACTTTTAAAAAAATTAAGTAGATTTATTATTAAAGTTTTATAATTATTAAGTTAATTAGTTAAATTATTAATAGAAATTAAATAATTAGAAAATTAATTAAAATTATTAAATTAATTAACTTAATTTTATAATTATTAATTGAAATTATTAATTAATTAAATTTTATAATTATGATTTATGTTTGTTTTCAGTTTTTTATTTTCAAAAATAAAAATTGATACCAAACAGGCGCTAAACTTATTGGAGGGTGGCAGCTGTGAGAGAGCTGTTATATCCTTATTTCTAGAAGAAAATTTCTATAACACACCGTGGCTTCAAAAAATTTTGCTTTCCCACAATAGTTTAAATGGTTACTTTGCGAACAGCTACAGCAATTGGCAAAAGATGCTAAACCATCATTCCATAAAAACTACTGTTCAACTTTCATACACCAAAACTTTTTTTTTCACGATAGAACACTTAAAACTATAGCTGTTTAAAGAAGCCAAAAATAGAATCATTGCCAAAAAAACATTAATCATACATAAACAACACATTCAATCTAACCAGACAACATCTCCAGCTTCATGAGTATTGAGAGAGAATATGGATTGATAGCACATCATATGAAATAACTTTTATATTGTAATTTCATAAACAAGGATATAATACGAAGAAACAAATGCAAGGGTGGAAAATATATAGCAAAATTGCCAATGGAAAATGAACGATAAAATGAGATATTGTAATTACTTGAAGCATTGAGAGAGAACTTAGTATGAAGCATAAACCATATAGACATAAATATGGTTGATAAAACATGATATGAAATTATTTGTATATTATAATTTCATAAATGGAATATAATACGAAGAAACATTTGTGTGAGTGGAAAATACTTAACAAATGTGGAACATTGCCAATGAAAAATGCACAATTAAATGAGATATACAAGAATTGAGGGAAACTAGTGATGCACAAACCCCGAAAAAAAGTTACAAAATTTCTTAAGCAATAAAGCTTTGGGATACCTTTGCTGGTGACACTTGCACAAGCAGCTTTAGAATGAAAAAATGAAGGAGAAAATATCGTGTCCGGAATCTCCTGTGAAATTCTCTCACCATGGCTCTGAAATAGTAATAATTACAAATAAATAGCTAGATAGAGGAAAAAAGAAAGCGATGCAATAAATTTGTGCAGGTAGATTAAATTCTACAAATGAAACAGTCAAAGTAGGACAGAATGACAGCTGATGAGCAGTAAGATAATTATCATATTTATAATATATATATAATTACTGATATTTTTTCCATCACCCAGCAAGTCACCTTACACTTTAACTTATGCTTTGGATTAAAAATTATTATACACAGAACAGCAAGAGTATTTGAAAATCTTCTCATTTTGAAGTTAAAGGCTTCAAGTACATGCAGTAATAAAAAAAAAAACTGTAATCATTACTCTTCAATAGCATAAATGTGACCAAAATAAATGCTGTTGTCATTTAAAATGAATAATGTTGCCTTGTAACAATGTACTACATTTCTTCCACGAAGAAATATTTAACTTCTTCATGCTACTAGTCCGACAACGAAAGCAACTATAACCAGTCTTACCTAACTAAAAGAGCAATTACATAAAACAAATGGTCTATTTAAGAATAATCTTCGCATGAATTTAAATAAAAAGGCTTCATACAATAGTTAAAAATAAAGGGGAACAGATTCACTCAAAGAAACGCATAACTTCTATGATTAGGATAAGATTATAGGTAGAACTTTACAAGGCGAAGTAAAAATCAACGGGAAAACCGAGAAAAAATTAAATCAAATTCTGATATTTAGCATCCAATACAAAATAATTACCAAGCAATAAAGTTTCAAAACTTAATTTTGCAATCAAATTTAAGGAATGAAATAAAAATGATTATGAATTGGGACTCAAGTCATAACACATGATATTTCATGGGACATCCGCGAAAGAATTCTAGTAAAGGTTTTATTACATATCAAAAGTGTAATGAAGTTTCAATCAAAACATGTGAGTTTCCAAGTCAATTATCAAATTTAACAATAATTTCTGTGAAACTCGACTTTCTGATAAATCCTACAGAATAAGAAGAACAACAAGCCTTTATCCCACTATGTTGGGTCGACTACATGAATCCTATTTCTAAATTGTGTCCTATTGTGTCATAATTTCATTTAATTTTAATAAATTAAGATCATTTTTTATACAACAATCCCCAGAATTTTTAGGTATACCTCTACCATTCTTAACATAAGTTAAATCAAAAACATCCACTCTCCTAACCGGATCATCAGATGGTCGGCAGTTGATGTGACCGAACCATCAAAGATAATTCTTCAAAACAATCAATTTTTTAAGGTAAAAAAAAAAAAAGACTTGTGGTTTCAGCCAAAACTTCTTTGAAACAATCAAAACTTAAAGCTTTGATTAAAAAAATAAAACACAAACATTACCAAAACGAAGGAGCCAAATCATGCTTAAAATGCAAGAATAAGGGTCTGTTTGGGGCAACTGTAGCTTATTGAATAATCTGTTGATAAGCTGATTAAAAATAATCTGCTGATAAACTAGGTGCGGTGACTATTACAAATTTTTATTTTTTTGGAAAAGTCAGACCATTGTCAATAAGCTCCCACCGCACCTAGATAGGTGCGGTGTGAAAACACTGTTTTCTGCGTTTTGAAAACGCATAAGCTGTCAAAACGCAATTTACCCAAACAGACCAGGTGCGTTTTCAAAACGCCACCGCACCAAATAAGCTGCCCCAAACGGGCCCTAAGCCGCATGGTTGTTCATGATCATGACTATAAAGAAATAAAGAGAAATTGGTCACCATAAGATCCACTGAAGCTTCGTAAGCCATGGAAATACCATCAGCCTCATCCTCTAAGATTTCACACGCAGCACTCAAATCCCTCCCAAATTCAGGATCACTCCTTAAATGAATTGCAGCTGTAAGAATACAGGATTGGAACGTCAATAAAATGTATTCAAGTGTTTGCAAAATCACCGTACCCTGACATTAATTATAAGCCACAATCTGTGACAATTTCCATATCAAACAGGATCTTAAAAAAATTGACATGATTATATAATACCAGAAAGTTTGAGCAAATTTGAAAATCAAATCTGAAAGATGTAGAAAATGTTGGTCAATTAAAAAAAACAAAAAAATAAATAACTTAAATAGTAGCAGAGGTACAAAACTATTGGCAGTGGCAGTATTGCTCTCTTGTAGTGATAGTAAGAAACGTAAAAATGAGTATTAACCGCATAAATATTTCAATAAGGTTTAGTTCAATCAAAACCAGTCCAAGCTGATAATGTTGGACAAGTTTAAGCCAGTGCTATACCCACATCACAATAGGTTGTTCTGAAACTGGATGAAATGATAATCATTTCTTCACAACAGGTTTATGTTAATCAATTCTTGGGCATATATAGAGAGTATACTTGAGGAATAATATTGAAAAGGTAGGTATAAGTCCAAGTAATCCAAACTTCGTATTCAATGGGTGGCATGGAAAAGATTTAGGTTGTCCAAAATTTATTAAATGAATAAAACCCTATGATAAGTCAGGCCATTTTGCCAAACAATAAATTTGCCACTTCAGAGACTAAAAGGCATAGAGTATACATATGTTTTCACTCTGAGAAAAAAAACAAAAATGATAGCATTCAAAGCAGATAGATCTTTTAAAGTTGAGGATCATACCAATAAGAAAAAAAGGAGGTTATTGCTTCAATTCGAGCACATGTTTAAAAAATTGTTTCTTAATTTAATCAGTTTATTAAATTTAGATGCAACACGCCAAATTTAATTAGCGTATCTGTACAACCTTTGAGCAAGCTATTACTTCTTAACTCGCATTACATGTATAAACTTTTTTTTCAAATTTATCATCAAAATCTATCTTAAGAAATTGAATCTTTTAATATTTGAAATATTTTAATAGATCTTAAATAAAGCCAAGACTTAAAACACAATTAAACACAGAAATACATACGAGTGCCAAAACTAAAGCAAATCTTGAAGGTTCGAATCAAAAAATTAAAGCTAAGAGTGAGAACCTGACTTTACAGCAAATCCCTGAGGCTAAGTATAGCTCACCCTGATCAAAAAGCTTTGGAAGCTCAATTTATCTTGTTAGTAAGACAAGGAGCAACTAATATGAAAAGACTCTACACTCCACTCCATTAAAATTACTTTAGAAATATGTATGAAAGTGATGGCTTTAACAACAAAATAAAGGAACATCATATATAGCTCTATAACAGAGGAACTAATACAGAAGAAATACTCCTCCACTTTACTAGAGGGATAAATGGACCGTTTGGCATCACTTTTGTTTTATTTTTATTTTTTGTTTTTACTTCTATTTTTAAAAGCATGTTTAATTACCATAATTTTTACATGTTTTTTTTAATTTTTAAAAGCAAATAACCTTGTATTTAAAAACACTCAAAACACCTAAAAGATGTATAGAGTGTTTTAAAAATAACAACCACAAAAAAATATCTTTTAATTTAAATCAAAACGTAACAAAACAAAATAAAAACCAAAATAGAAAACCAAAAACAAAGTGATCCCAAGCAAAGCTTAAATGTGTGTAGACCAATGTTAATGTAGTTTTGCATGCACAACAAAGCTAGCAATACAACAGTAAACACATAAGAGTGGGGAGAACTAACCAAGCTTATTTTTCTTTTTTGATGAAATGAGATCACTGACTTTTCTTTGAGAAATCATAGTTACTTTCCGAGGCTTTGTGCAGAACCTAGCACTACAACGCCCCCCCGAACCATCTCCTCCGAGCATTCTCTTCCTCTTCTGCATTATTTAATAAAAAGGTTACACAAACCTCATAAAAAATAACACTGCAAGACTATAGACCAGTTTTTTTTTTTTAATCTAATCAAAAACACCTAATTCACTCAGGGTCTGTTTGGGGCAGGTGCGGCTGTGAAGCTGCTGCAGAATAAGAGTTGTTGCTCAAACAGTTGCAGTGGCTATTACACTTTTTTTTCCTTTTTTTTTTTTTTTTTTTTTAATTTCGACCGCAGGTAGCCAGATCTGCTGACAAAACACTGCTTTCAGTTACAACTTCTTGAAAAAAACAAGCAAAATGTTGTTTTACCAAACAACAAAAAAAAACTGCGATTCAATCTCCCTAAATGGACCCTCAGACTAACACCACAAATATCATTGTTTAGAGTGAACATCAGCTCTAAGTTTATCTACTAGTATAGGTTGAAGCAAGTTTATTGACTAGTATAGGCTACAGGTTGAAACAATATAATATTTCTAAAAATAACACGACAAAGATAAGTGCTCATATGGTGAGATAATATATCACTAAAAGGGACAGTTTCCTTCGCATTTAAAAGTTGATTCGTCCATGATAATGAATACTAGGTAATAAACCATAAACCTAATCAAATACTACTTTCAATTACTATAAAGAATTCAATGAAAAACAAGAGCATCTAATTAAGTAAAATAAACAACAAAATAATTGGATTTACGTTACAAGTTATGGTCATTCATTTATGCTTTCATTATGTAAAAAAACATAAAGCTTGAAGGAACAATTTGTACTTAGGAAATCTACTCCAAAGTCCTAGTTTCGCCACCTTATGATCCCAACCAAAGCAGCTCCAGCGCACTAAAGAAAGCCTAAATGCATAATCCTACTATATTACAAATAATAACAAACTTTTTATCGGCCATGTCACTCGATAAATAGATTAAAAAAGCATGAGCTCAACATACAAGGGGCTTGCACAGAAACAACAAAAATATTGAGAATGTAAAATGGGTGAAACTAAATGAATTAAAAGGAAACAGGTTGAAATCAGAATGTTAATTTTCACCGCAATAAGCAAAGTCAATGTTAACCAACAATGACTTCAAAGGAGCACAAAATTAATGATGAATGCTAAAAAAAACAAACTTACAAAATACAAACAGTCAATTCTCTATTTAACAATATTGAGCAAAGTCAAGCAATCTCAAAAGCAAACAGGAAAACATCCCCCAAAATTCTTTTTAAGAGCAGAACAGCCTTGAAAACAAGTAGGCGTGACATCCCTGGATGGCATCGAGTAAAGGAGAGGTTTGGCACGCATCCTCAATCGGGCGGTCCATCCATCTCTTCAAAATCAGCTCAGCATTGCTACCCATTTTATGCTGCAGAACAGCTGCCCCTATTGGTCCAATGAGATTTAGTCTTGTAGCAGCTGAAAGAACATCCCTCATTGTCAAGTGCATATAAGCCCGTTGAGAGAACTCACTTCCAAATCCAAGCAAACCACATACAAGCCCAAAAACTGTTGCATGGTGGAAGGAAGCAGCCCCAGCGGCCATGGCTGTCCCTCTGATCTTCTTCAGAGATGGAAACTCATGAAAAACAGAAGCAGCAACTCTTAAAAGCGCCGATCCTTGTGACGATGAGGCCTTTCGGCTTACTTCATTGGTTAGGGTGGCTTCAAGGAGTCTATCAAGCTTCAACCATGTTTCATAATCTGGGGATTTAGTTGCCACGCACACAAATGGAAGGAGGAGGCTACCAGTGTTGTCCAAGACACTGAGTGTATAGGTCTGAAGATCTTCAGGGCCCATCACAAAGCAACATTGGATGGCAGCCTCAAGGCCAAAAGAATGAGCAAACCCACCAGTGGGAAGGAAAGAGTCCAGTAGCTGCCATTGGCTCCAATGGGGATTGTTGATTATTGACTCTGATTCCATATCCTACAACACAACCATGATGGGCATATCAGGCTAGAGAAATATAATATGTGACTTGATTTGTCATGTGGCTTGTTTAATTTTTTTAAGAAAATAAAAGATGAGTAGAGAACGAATGGCAGTGCAAACTACCAAAGCTAACTTTTGGAGAATTGCTAATGTCTAGGGTAAATAATCGCCTCCAACTTTCCATCAAAATCAAACACGAAGGACACAGGCTCAGAAATATAAACCTGTGCACCTAAACAACAGAAATGCATTTCCCTTCTCTCAAATGCATACAAATGCACATATTTACAAGTCAAAAAAGTATATACTTTGGGGATCCGAAGCTTTCTGAAATTTCTCTATTCATTTTCCACAATTAAATTTATTTACAAGCCACATCGGAAATCAAGTCATATATTATATAACATTATATGCCGCTCATGTATGACAAAAACAAAAAGCCAAGCCTGATTGAATACGCTCAAAATTTTCAACTTGCAAAAAACAATCACTTTAATAAGGTCCCATTTGCTATATGAACTTGAACATTATGTCCTCAAACTCATGAAGAATCCATTACAGTCTTTCAAAAGAAATCAAATGAAATGCGTTATGACCCCACGTCCTGCCCCCAAACCTGCCCGTAATAGTTATAACTTGGTGAGGACGACAATGAAACAAATACAAGAAATACCTCAAGCATTGGCGTGCACCAAAGGCATGATCAAATATTCCAAAGTTAATGTTAATGACGCAACTGTCAGTAAGAATTTGAAAAAAAATTCCATGCTTAGAAAAGGAAGATAAAATTAGAAGATCTATGTACAATTTATATTAAAATGGAAATTAAAAAAATTTTCAATAAAGAATGAATGAAATAATGCAGTATGAACAGCTAGGAGAAAGCTTTGTTTGGAGCCACATTTATCCTGATTCGCATTCGAAAGCTAATTTTAGTGTGTCTAAAATGTTCCTGTAAAATTGCTACCTTGATATGCATGTCCTCTGTAAATTCATGAGCAAAGTAAACAATCTTACGGAAAATCTTGTCCATCTCTGCATAAGAAATTTGTTTTATTCCTATAACATAAAAATAGCACAGCAGCAACACAGCCTTACAAATCAAAGCACAGGCAAGAGTGTCTTACTTTTTTCCAACAATATACAAATAGTGTGAGTTAAAATACGCCTTGTAGATGCTGAGCAAATAAATTGTGTACAAAGGACTAATATAAAATGAACATTAAGGAAACGGTTCAGGGTTCAGCAAATCAAACACCTCCCATAAAAATGACCTTATTGTCCATTAGAAAAGTATAGATATTCAAAATGCATGAAATGATTGTTAGAATTCGTGAGCAAAAACCAAACAACTTTATGCTCATTTTGAAAAAAACGATGCTCCGCCAACTCATCAAGTCACAGATAGATTCCACATGGTTGTGCAAACTTTAAAAGGGTGAGCAGATGTAATGTTACAACCGAAACATAAAAGACCTTAACTTTGGATTACAAATAGATAAAATGCAAAAAATAAATGCTATGTGCAATTATTATATACTATAAAAATAATGAAAATTAATGCCAGCTTTATATTTTCTTCTGAAATTTGTTTATTCGAGAAGAGGAAGAAAATAATAGAAAAATGAGAGCCAAAAGCAGGACGATGTGGGAAGTGTTCAAATAAAGGGCATGCGGTGGAAGAATAATAGTGCACATAAGAGATATGATAACTATCTAAAGAAGTAGGATAAAAGTGATGAGTTTGAATCTAGAGCTTTGTCCCCGAAAATAGAAATTGCAGTGCAAGCATATTTATAACAAAATTAGGAGGAAACATGATTTATTCATCTTTTTCTTTGGAAAAAAAAAGGGTGGAGCCAATTTTAGCTTGCAAGGAAAATGGTTGTAGTGGTCACCCCTCAAATTCAATTTTTTTTACTTATATGGGAGGGCAATTTGGTCGTTTACCCCTTGCCCTAGCCCCTCCCATGTTGGGCCTAGAGGGACAAAATGCCCTCCTTAAAAAAAGAGGATGGTTGCGCCCATGTTGATATGAGCATCATTCATAGAGTGACTTAACTCAAAAGGAACACTCCGATATTTTCCAATAACTACATCGCATGCAGGAATTTATAAAAGTCACAGAGAATCACAGGCTAGGTTTACTCGTGGAGAACTTAGGAATCCTGAAAATTCAGATTCAGTAAATCTTGAGCTGACCACTACTAAATTCCTAAATAGTTTATCAAACGACCATTTGGCAAAATTTGCCAATTTTCACAAAAATCTAAAATATGCTGCTGAACCACCATTTCCGAAAACTTCATGGTAAAACCTTCCTCGTTACTTTGCAACAGGTCAAGTTAATTCAACACAAGTCATGCTTGCTGGTTTCATCCCTAAAGCACGCATCCAGATACTCAGCCATAGAATAATTACTGTTCAGACAATAAAAAATACCGGTCATAGAAACGACTAACCAAGTATCAGTCTAATCGGGAAATCACTCTTTCCAAACAATTTCTGAAGTTCCGGGGGCGCCGAGTTCCCAACCAGCCATAAGGGCACCTATCCATATTCCACCATTTAAACCAATATGGATCTAAGAATTTAAAATCACCTTAAAAATCTTTTGTGCGTAATCCATATACCACCAAATGATACCACAAACTCTTCATGCTTCACCACAGAAAGAAAAATCTAACTTCAAACAAAAGAAATGATTACCTTCTACAATAAACACATCACACTGCTGCTTACATCATAAATCAACATGAAATCTGATGTATCAGGTAATCATCCATGTAATACTTAAAGAATCAAAACGACATTCATTCCAAGCTGAAAAACACTTTAAAATAACAATAAGAGCAGTGAAAATAGATCAAAAAAGTATAACACCAAAAACGGAAAAATAAAAGCTACTCAATAGTGGAACACTCACCATAAACTAATCCAGAAAGAAAGCAATCCGTGACTAAATCACCATAAATCACCCGACCGTGACTAACGCCAACAGATTCAAGCTGAATCCGTAGCAACGATTCCAGGGCTCTGAGGAGCTTCAGATTTCGGAGTGAGGGAGAGAGAAGAAGCATAAAGAGAAAAAGGGTTATAAAATAATTAATTACACCAAACGGATTTATAGTCTCCTACGATTCGATTTGAATTGCATGGAAACGTCCGGATGCGCGGAGATGGCAACAGCTCGAGCTTTCAAATTCGTGCATTGTACAATCAAGAATTGCGAAAGAATGCATCTTTTTAGCGCGAATCTCGAGGTCGAGGCGTCGATGGACGGGAGGCTCTGGCGAGAATTGGTGTTTTTTAATAAAAAAATGGGTTAATATAAATAAAATGTTTGAATTGGCGAGTTACAGATTTGCCCCCGAAAAGTTTGAATTTTGAAGGGAGGGAGTAGAGATGACTCGTGTGGTTGCATCGAATTTGTGTCAGATGCAAATTTAGGAACTGTTGATAGATTTGCCCTAATTTTAAAATTTAATATTTCTTAATTTAGTGATGTCAAATTAGTATACTTTTCAAATAAATTATTATTTATATATGATTAATTTTTAATTACTGTAACTTTATGAGATTCAATCAGATCATGACTTTATATTATTGAAAAACTAAAGTTACCTACTTATCATCTTATATTTATATGCTTACATATTTACATCTAAAAATACTTCTGACATCTATACTACTCAAATCTCTCGTATCAGATTAAAATTATCACCAATTTAATATTTATTGTTTACTTGCATGTTTAGTGATTATTATTTATTACTCGAGATGACTGCATTTAAGAACCATATAGATCAAAATTCTCACTTATTATGTAAATTACCAAACACACTGTTTGTTTGTATATATAAATCTCGATGTTCAACGCGAGTAAATGTATTAGGATACATGTATGCATTTGAATTAATCAAGTTCCATAGTTAATCGACTGTTGGGTTGCAATCCCCAGTATTGATGGTTGGGCCAGTTGTGCATGCACGATCCCAAAAGTACTTTGAAGGGACCATAAGATGTTATAATGGGCTAAAATCAACGCCAATAAGATGAGCCTTCTGCCACAAATTTAGGTCACCTCCTACTTGATTCCAACTATGTTGTTAAAGTCGCACCGAGTGCTGATTGTTCCTTTAGCCCCTCACCAATCTCTCACCAAGTTAATGATTAGGCACACAATGGAAATTTTCTCGAGTTCAACCCACAATGTTCAAGAACTTGCTGGTATTATTATTTAATTGTCATCTAACATCATACCCTTCTCATGATATCAATGTATACTACCTTTAGTCCTGAAGTTGTTGTTGACATCCAATATTACGTGACATTATATTTGTTGATGTTACCATGGTTGGGTTTATTTATAAGGGAATACCTTTTTGTAAATAAATAATTCATCACTAATTACAACAAGTGCACACTTAACAGTGATGGGAATGACGAGATTGTTTACTTGAACACCATCCATGACTCGCATCAAGTTAAATTGGCATCATTGAAGAAATGAGATACCACTTACAATATTCGGATCATTCTATAAGCAACGACGAATATGAGAGGTGACAAGTCATGTGGTAGAAGTTGTAATATATGGGTTGTATCGTCAGTTGAAAATTAAATGTAGTGTGAAACAAATGAAATGAAAAAAGTAATGTATTGTATTTTGATTATTTTGAAGTTATGTGGTTCGATATGAAATGAAAAAAGGGCTTTTGTTGAATCCTTATTTGTCTCTGAATCTCACCTAAATAATAGAGTACTAAAGAAGATAGAAAGAGAGATACATGAAGGAAATTACACATTAATGAACAATAATTTAAACTATTGATTGGTCTTGAGGCATTAAATGATCCCCCATTTATAGAGAAACGTGGAAGAATATATGAAATTATATGTCAATGCTTTCTTTGTTTGGGTCTTTATAATATATTTTATGAGTTCTACATGTATAGGCCTTCGGTTCGGCTACCATATTGCTTGAACAACCGAGATCTATTGGTGATGGTTCAATGAGACTCTTTCATGCGACTGTACTCGATCGGGGCTGTCAGTCGGCCCTCGATGAACTTCGGGTCAGTGTAACTTGATTTAATCTACCAAACTTTGTCGATCAGTTATTATTATCAAGTTGCCAAATATTTATCATTGGATAAGGAACTTATGCTGACATAGAAGGTTAAGGTTATCAGGCAGAGAGTGAATCACTGCAATCTAAACTCCTTTACGAGAGGATCCTTCGGGATGCTTTATGTGAATGTATTATGATGTCAGAGTAAATTACATTATAAATACAAATATTATTGTTGAAATGTAATATGATTACAAAGAAAGACTATTAGCAAAAAAAATAACAACACAAATATAAAAGACACCTAGAACGAGGTTGAATAATGATCGACTGTGAGTGGGGTAGTGGGGTTGGGGTTTGTTGGTGTAGGAGAAAGGTTGGAACGTAGATGTATGAGCTGGTAGATGAAAAGAAGTGGATGACAGCAATAAGGTTATGGGGAAAGATGACAACAGTGGAAGGATCAAGAGCTTGGTGGTTGTAAGTATGAGGAGAGACGTAGCTGGAAGGTGGCAACAAGCTTGACGTGTAGGAAAGCAACGACAAATGCTTAGCAATGGTGTGGAGAGAGGGACTACAAAGAAGAAACTGCATAAAACAACCTGGAAGGATTATCTATTAGTTGTAGTGAGGAGGGAGGATGGCAAGGAGGTTGAAGTTGGGTGACAAGGGGTTGTTAAGTGGTGGGGAAATATGATAAGAAGGTGTGGGGGCTGTAGGAATTATTAAGGAAGGTGGAGCCCGATCCTCGACTTCGTTTGGGAAAGTCTTGCATTTATATAATGCATTTATTATATTTAAATACATATATCTTCTTTGCTTCACAAATTAAGGAAAGTAGCCTTACCTTTATTAATTCCTTTTCCCGAAATTAATCTCCCGTCATTGCTTCTGCATTTGCAAATCAGATATCTTAGCTTCGTTATGGGCTGAAGAAAGGAAAATAGGTATTAACACTTCTAGCATACAGCTGGTAGTGAAAAAGCTTTGTTAATCACCTTGTTACTTTTTTGGCTTACAGGTGAGGAAGAAAGAAAATTGCAAGTTTGTTATTTCTCGTTTCTTCTTCTTCTTCTCGTGTCGCTATCAGTTAGAGAGGGAGAGAGGGAAGGTGAGGAGAGAGAAAGAGTTAGAGTCAAGTCACAGTTTTCTTATAATCCTCAAGGCGATCGACAGGTGTAATCCTCAAAGTAATAAAAACCTCTGCAGCTCCGTGGACGCAGACAATTTGTCAAACCACATAAATTTGTATGTCTGTTGTTTCTGTGTGAATTTCTAGTTCCAATTTCTCGCTTTAATGTCGTCTTTTTTCACAACAATTGTTATCAAAGCCAAGATTTGGGTTTGAGGGAAAGCGATGGTTAGAGGTGAAGCAATGGCATCAGGGATCAATAAATTTGATGACACAGATTTTGGTTACTAAAGGATGCATAAAGAGGACTGCCTCTGTGGGAAGAAACTTCATATTCTGTTCCTGGGAAAGCGACTGGAGAATATGGATGAAGTTGATTGGAATTTGCTGAATCGACAGGTTATGGGGGTTGTTCGATTAACCCTGTCGAGATCCGTTGCCCACAACATCGTCAATGAAACGATTATTGCATATCTCATGACAGTTTTATCAGGTATGTATGAAAAGTAATTGACGAATAACAATGTGTGTTTACCGCTCAGCATCTGAATAATTTCAATATCATCAACTTAAAGATATTCAATTGATGAAAAAGTTATTCAACTTAAAGATAGCAGAACGTGTGTTTACCGCTCAACATCTGAATAATTTCAATATCATCATAAATCAATAGTAGTTTGTTGAAATTAATTTTGACAATGAGATATGTGCACTGATAACGTTGGTTTCATTGCTAAATAATTGGGAAACCATGAGAATGATAGTTAGCAATTTTGCATGTAAATCTAAGCTGAAATATGATGATATTCGTGATTTGATATTGGTTGAGGAGGTGCGCAGAAAAGATTATTGCGAGACCTCAAATTTGAGTTCAACACTTAATGTTGATTGTAGATGGAGATCACGGGACAAGAACTTAAATATAGAATGATCAAAATAAAAGTACAGAGGTAAGAGGAAGCAAAAGCCTCATCGGCAAGCAACTTGTTGAAATTATAACAAAACTAACCACATAAAGAAAAACTGCATAAATCCTAAGATGAAGGACCATGATAGCGAAAATGTGGTAACAGAAGAAACACAGGATGCATTATTGCTGACAGTTCACAGTTCTATTGATGACTGGATTCAGGGACTCCTTTTCATAAAACTTTCTGTCAGGAATTGATGCAGAATTATGTTGTAGCTGACTATGAGAAAATTTATCTGGCATATGGAGAAGCTCTGAACGTTGTAGGAATTCTGGACATTAGCATTAAACTTTCTAATAAAAATAAGCGAACTCTATAAAATGTCAGACACATTCCTGAGATTACAGATGGGAAACTCGATGAGTGTGGACATACAAAAGTGTTTTCAGATAGCACCTAAAAGGTTACTAAAGGAGCACTGACACTGTCTCAGAATACGAAAACTTGTACGTTGTATATGACTATTGGTTTGATTAATAGTGTTGATACTTGATACGCCTAAAAATGTACATTTTTCATGTTTCATTTTATAATGATATTGCACTTTAAAGATGTGTTTTCTTGTGTTTTTGGTTGTAGGTACATTAAATTGAAGTGGTTGTAGGTTTTTGGTTGTAGGTACATTAAATTGAAGAATTTGGAGTTATTGGAGCAAAAGGAACAAAAATGGACCAAAACGGAGCAAACCGAAGCAAATCAAGTCGAACCGGGGCACACAGGAGCCAAGAAGACCTAAACCGGACACTTAAGTGCATGTACCCGGCGCTTAAGCGCCCAAAATGGCGTTTAGGCGCCACCAGACAGAGATGGGGGTGCTTAGGCGCCGGTGACGGTTTTCAACATATCTTCTAGAATATTGTCAGATTTGGACGATTTTTGAAGCGGTGCATCATGCATCTCTTAGGGAATTTGTTGGAAATGAGAAAAGGGAATTTCTAGA